ATCACCGCAGCACCGTTCAACATGGTGGCCATAAGAATGTCATGTCCAGGACAATCTACAAACGAAACATGCCTAATGTGGTTTTATCAAAGAACAATTAATCATTCTCGCAAGAAGTGCGTAGCCATAGGAATCATAAGAATAATGCAAAACGTGAAATTATACCTTTGCAACTTCATCCTCCCACCACAACCAGCTCTCTCACAAGGTGGATTATCCTCTTTATCGCTACGATACGATTTGTAACATCCAGGTCTTGGACAATCCGCGTTTTCACATTTGTATATCTTGAAACACATATATACAGCTGATGAGAAACCCACAAAATCACAACACGATTGCACGAAGGATCAATGCTGACGCACCTTAGCATTTGCATAACCCAACTTAATGGTGATATTACGTTCAAGTTCATTTTTGAAGCGAACGGTCTTTGATCAAGATAAAGAAATGTGTGAAGTTAAGCTTGCCACAAGTCTGTCTTCAAAGACAACAATATTTATCATACTTGAACCCCGGATATTGCTTTGACTACCGTAGATTTCCCATGCGCCACATGTCCAATAGTGCCTACGTGCAATCAAATGAAGAACGTGTACTGAAAGTTGCTTGCCAAAAGAAGAAACTCAAAATTGAGTAAAACAGATATGTATACACCAGCCGAGACATGTACCTATGTTAATTGTAGCTTGTCTCGAAATCACTTCCGGTGATAAAGGGTTCAACTTAGAAGGATCAACTCCTATACTGTCTTCGACTTTTTCAGTGGCCATGGCGTAGACAAAAAACCGAAAATGAAAATTTTATACATCTATTTTATCTTATATTTCAGATCTATGACTCATCGAGATGTAGTGACACAGAATTTGTTCACGTGACTAGACGGTTAAAAAAAAATTATTTTTTTTTTTTTTATTATACAAGGAATGTCAAAACCTTGACAGATAAAAAAAACTAACAATTAAAAACAAAAGGACATCCATTATTCATCAAACTTTTCACTCAACCAACGTTCACACTCTAAGGCGGCCATGCACCCAGAGCCAGCACTTGTGATAGCTTGCCGATATTTTTTATCTTTCACATCACCGGCAGCAAATACACCTTCGATGTTTGTATAAGTGGTATCCGGTTTCGTAATAACATAACCATCTTCGTCCAAGTCTATTTGACCCTTGACTAATTCTGTAGCCGGCGCATGACCGATTGCATAGAAAAGACCATTGACAGCTAATTCACCGATCTCATCTGTCTTAGTGTTCCTGGTAACTATTGAATTTAAAAGTTTTCCATTCCCTTTGCATTCAACAGGAACAGTATTCCAAAGGACGGTAACCTTTGAATTAGAAAGTAAACGTTTAGCCATAACCTTCGACGCACGAAGCTTATCTCTACGGACTAACACGAATACATGGGATCCGTATTTTGTGAGAAATAAAGCCTCCTCGGCAGCTGAATCACCACCTCCGACTACAGCAAGTGGTTTATTGCGGAAGATAGGGACAGCACCTTCATAAAATAAATTTGATATAAGTAAATGATAGATATATTATGCATGTTAATTGGAGATCTAACTCACCATCGCAGACAGCACATGCCGAAATTCCCAATTGCCAATAAGTCTCTTCTCCGGGAAGGTTTAATCTCTTGGCGGCTGCTCCGGTAGCAATAATAATGGAATCTGCAGTATCTGGATCTTTAGCTTCCTTACCTTCACGCCATAGTTTGAAAGGACGCGCAGAAAGATCAACTTTAGAAATTGTCTCTGTGATAATATTCGTTCCAAACCTTAAACTTTGTTGACGGAATTTTTCCATAATTTCTACACCCTTTATCCCTTCAGGAAATCCAGGGTAATTCTCAACCTCGGTGGTTGTCGTGAGCTATAAGTAATATACTCAATTTAGAAACGCATAAATTATGTTAACGAGCTTAAAAATAAATAGCGACGCGTACTTGACCACCTGCGGCGAATCCATTAGCAAGGAAACCTTCAAACATGACAGGTTCTAGAGTGGCTCTTGATAAATAAAGCGCAGCGGTGTGCCCAGCAGGGCCAGAACCGATAATTACGACCTTAGAATGCATTTCGTTTCTTTGTATCTTCCTGATGTTAAAAGTAGATAAATATTTCAAAAGTTCATAACGAACATTTTTCTGTCCAATATTTATAGCGAATTTAATAGAAAATTTTTTGAGTGAAAACATAGAGTTTATTAATGTTTCACAACAGAGTGTTACGCTAAAATAAATGTCAAATTTGTATAATATGCATGTAGATTTTCAAGTGATCTTCAATACAGGTATGAAATAACAAATAATTTATCCATTCTATTACTAATAATAAAACTTCTTATTGCGTCATAATGCCACACAGATTCACAAATTGTGTGCATGCCTAAAGTTTTCACCAGCATAAATTGCACTGTCACCTAATTCTTCTTCGATACGCAGGAGTTGATTGTATTTCGCCAAACGTTCAGAGCGGCAAGGTGCACCAGTCTTAATTTGACCAGTACGAAGGCCGACAACAAGATCGGCAATAAATGTATCTTCGGTTTCACCGGAGCGATGAGACACCATCACACCCCATCCGCTATCTTGAGATAACTTGGCTCTATTTTTTTAAAACAAAAGCAGCTATATAATTATTGGAACCACTCGGGATAATAGTTTACAATATTTTAAGAATACGCACGCTTTGATTGATTCGCTTACAGTTCCAATCTGGTTTACCTTCAACAAGAGTGCATTACAAGCTTTCTTCTCGATGGCAACCGCAATCCTTTCTGGGTTGGTGACAGTCAAATCGTCACCAACAATTTGAGTGCTTACCAGAGAGCTCAAGTGACTCCACGCACTCCAGTCATCTTGATCAAAAGGATCTTCAATTGAAACAATTGGATATTCGCGGATAAACTCGTTGTACAATTCGGCAAGTTCCGGTCCAGAAAGCCATTTCGACTTGTCAGAATTTGGATTTTTGAAGTCAAGATCATATGAACCATCTTTATAAAATTCGGAGGCAGCCACGTCCATTCCAATCTTCACCCTCCCCGTGTAACCAGTCGCATCAATTGCCTCCCTTAGTAACTCGAGACCTTCTTTATTATCTTGGATGTTTGGTGCAAAACCACCTTCATCACCTACATTAACAGCATCTTGCCCATACTTTTTTTTGATAACGGACTTTAATGCATGATAAACTTCCGAACCAATTTTCATTGCTTCTCTGAAGGAATTCGCGCCGGTCGGAAGAATCATGAATTCTTGCATGGCAAGTTTGTTACCGGCATGAGAACCTCCGTTGATAACATTAAATGCAGGTAC